AATGCCCTTGAATCATCCTAAAACCACCTCCTCCAAACCCCAATCCATGGAAAAATTGTTTTCCATGAAAACAGTCCCTCGTGCCAAAAAGGTTGAGGACTGCTGCTCCAGAGGACATGTGTTCATATCTGGAGACATTTTTGGTTGTCACATCTGTGCAGGAAGGTGTTTAGTGGGTAGAGGCCAGGGATGCAGCTAAATTCTACACTGCACAGGACAGGCCCCACAACAAAAGCGTTATCTGGCCCCAAATGTCAAAAGAGCCAAAGTTGAGCAATGCTGGATTAAATATTTCTCATCTTTTCAAAATATCTTTTTTTTTTTTTCAAATTTAAATCTGAGATGTATTTGGGGAAATTTACAAATGAAGATTAACTTCAAGGTTAATCTTTTGACCTTTAAAAGTGTATTTTAGGGTTAGCTAAATGTATGCCATATTTTAATATGGAATTTAAGGAGAATAAATATTCTCCAAAACACAGCACACAGTCTTGTGGTTATAGTAATCCAGCTATAGGCTTTAGCGGGTTGTTACTAACGTTAGGATAGGTTACTTTATGTTGTTCCTAATCCAGGCACTTAAACTGGCCAGTTGTAGTGTGTGCCAAGTATTTATTTCCATTAAAAATATCCCACATCAAGCATGTGTGTCTTGGTATTTAGGGATTTTTTTTTGTTGTTTTTATTACAGTAGCAGACTTGTAATGTCCAGTTTTTTTTTGTTTGCTCCTTTGTTTGCCAACTACAAGATTGTTGACAATGTCTGTATTTCTCAATTGTGCAACTTCTTCATTGAAATGCAAGTATTTCAATAGATTTAGGAGGTATAAATGGCTTTTTTGTTACATGGATAAACCACATAGTGGTGAAGTCAGGGCTTTTAGTGTACCCGTCACCCAAATAGTGTACACTGTACCCAACAGGTAGTTTGTGATCCCTCACCCCCACCCTTCCCTTTTCTGAGTCTCCGAAGTCCGTTTTACCCACTCTGTATGACCCATCATTTAGCTACAACTTACAAATGAGTACGTGTGGTATTTGTTTTTCCATTTATGAGATACTTCACTTAGTATAATGGCTTCCAGTTCCATCCAAGTTGCTGTGAAAGATGTTATTTCATTCTTCTTTATGACTGAGTAGTAGTCCACTGTGTGTGTGTGTATACACTCTCACACACACACACACACACACACACACACACACATACACACACTATATTTTCTTCATTGCTCATCAGTTGCTGGGCAATTAGGTTGATTCCATATCTTTGCAATTGTGAATTGTGCTGCAATGATCATATGAGTGCATCTGTCTTTTTGATATCTTGCTCCTTTCTTTGCTTTGACGTAATTGCTTGTTACTTAACTACTTACAGTTCACTTGGGAAAACTTTAAAATTGGTCCCCAAAGTTATTAGATAATTACAACAAATAATCATTTGCAGGTTAGCATTGTGTTCCCTTTTTCAATGACCTAATATATAATCTTTTAGGCATTTAAGTTCTATTTGTCTTTAAGGCAGGAGGCACAGTAGGTTTTAGATTCAATGCCGATTTTTAATGATGTTTCTGAGGAACAAAAATAATTGGATTGTTTATTTTTAAAATGCATTTTTCATTATATAAGTAATACATGAAGACCGCACATTGTGAAGAAATTGAATAACACAGAACTATTTAAAGAGAACATTTAGAGTTCCTGTTCTTCCCCAATACCATTTCCCACCCAAC